CTGCTGCGCTCCTTCTCAGTTCTATTCCAGAGGTTCTCCTGGTAAGTGTGGGAGGGACTCAGAAAGTTTTTGGTTCTTCACAAATCAGAGCAAATGAAACTGGGAAATGCTTGGAAAATCTGTAACACAACGAGCATTCAAGCTCATTAAAAACAAAGCTAAAAGAACACAAAGAAGCCATGGAAACCCAGGTCAATCCTGTTAACTGATGATACATGGAGCGGGATTACAGTCATTACAATGGAGCAAAGTATTGGATTTGTTGGCTGTAAAACTGACCATCTGCTCTGTAAACCTTCACTGAATTCACAATACAAAGTGTTTCCTTTTTTTAAAAAAAGCATCTATAAGCAAGACACTTTGAATGACTGCTACAATCAGAGGGAATAAATGAGGGGCTTAGTCCTAGAATAACTACAAAGAACTGAATTCTGCCAACAATTAGTAGGGGAAGAGCTTGGAAAAGGAGCCGTAGCTGTAGAGGAGAAGGCAACAAACACCTTGATTTTAGCCAAGTGAGACCCTGCGAGAGAACCCAGTTACAGCATGCCCCGGCTCCTGACCCACAGAAAGTATAATGTTATGCTGCTAAATTTGTGATTTGTTATTCAGCAATACATAACTGATACATATTGTTATGTGGCATTCAGTCAATTCTCATTCTTTACAGCCACCCTGTATGATACAGTAGAACTACCCTAGGGTGAAATCTTCATGGGAGTAGATCTCCTTTGAAGGAACTGATGGGCTTCAGTCTCTGACTGTTTAGTTAGCAGCTAAGCACTTAACCATTGCATCACCAGATCTCCTTAAGTGGTACATATGGCGCTGTGGGTTAATGCATCAGACTGCAAAGTCAGTTTGAACTGCAAGGTTGGTGGTTCAAGCTCATCAGCTGCTCCTTGGAAACCCTATACAGGGTCGTTATGAGTCAGAACCGACTCGATGGCACTCAATAACAACAACAACAACAATATTAAAACAGCAACTCAAAATGGATTCTATGATGAAAACTTCTTAGATATTACCATACTCCTTGAGGAAATGAGTGTTGGACCTGGGGGCTCAGGCCCACAGTCTGAGGGACATCATGGTCAATTGGCATAACATAGTCCACAAACACAACGTTCTACCTCTTACTGTGATGAGTAGAGACTGGGATCTTAAAAGCTAATGAACAGCTACCTAAAGTGTACCTATTGGTCCTTCCATGTGTAGAAGAGAGAAGAGTGATAAACTCGAAGATACTTAGAATCAATGAAGCCAGTGGACTAATGGAACATGTGAACATCAGCCTCCACCACTCTGGGAGCAGAAAGAAGGTCCTGGATAGATTGGGATAAAATATGGAATAAAACTCAAAACCATAAAAAAGGCCAAGTGTCCTGGTCAGAAGGAGACTGGAGGAATCTGACACTATGGCCTCTGGCCACCCTTCGGGTCTGTAATAGAACTTACTCTAGTGGTCCAATTTCCAGCTAAGCCGGAGGTAGATCTATAGGGGGAACAACTACACTAGTAAGGCATGCATATCATGGAATGGTCAACCATTTAGCCATTAAACGGCAACATGTACCTGAGGACAAAGGTCAGAAGGGTTGGGAAGGAGTGTGGGATCGAAATAAGGAGCAAAGCGGAGAAGTGGGTTAACTTTTGTTACCTGGAGAGGATTGACTAAGACTGGTGTGATCTGCTCTGTAACCCTTTACTCAACTCACAATACCAAAGTCTCAAAATAGAAAATGTACAACTGAATTATTTTACTGTGTTTACAGCGTTGTACAACCATTACCACAAACTAATTTTCTAACATTTTTGTCAACTCCCCCACTCAAAAAAAAACATACCCATACCCATTAGTAATCACTCCTCTTTCTCCCCCGCCCCATTTTCCCAGCCCTGGGCACCACTAATCTGCTTTCTGTCCCTAGGGATTTGCTCCTTTTTATGACTCAATGGTATACCATGGTATAGATGAATCCCATTTTTGGAATTCATTCATCAGGTAATGGACTTTTGTGTTGTTTCCACTTTTTGATCTATTATGAATAATGTTAATTATAAACACTCCTGTGCAGGTTTTTATGTGTGCATACGTTTTCATTTCACTTGGAATGGAGTGAAATTGCTTCCTATTTCACCTTTTGAGGAACTGAGAAACTTTTTCTACAGGAGCAAAATCATTTTACAATCCTATCAGCAATGTGTGAGAGTTCCTATCTTTCCACACCCTTAGCAACACTTGTCCCTGTGTGGCACAGTAGGATAAGCACTCGACTGCAAGGTCAGCTTGAATCTCAAAGTCAGTGGTTTAAATCCACCAGCCACTCCTTGGAAATCCTATATAGGGTCACTATGAGTTGGAACCAATTGCAGTTAACAGCAAAAACAAAGCAGCTTACCTTATTATTGTAGTAAAAATATATGTAGCAAAATGTTTTCCCTGTCAGTACTCCTCATATGTATAATTCAGTGACATTGTTTTTTGCAGTCCACCAAATTAACCCACAGTGCCACATCAGGACTTCCATTATCCACTTCCAAATTTCCCCATCACCTTTAACAGAAAGAAGGTCAGCAGTGTCGCCTAAGCTGTTAGTACCCCCTCTCTCCAGTCCACCCCTGGTAACCCCCTAGGCGTGATCTGTGATACACTTGCCTCTTCTAGATATTTCATGTAAGTGGAATCTTACAAGATTTGTTCTTTCGTAGCTGACTTATTTCACTCAACATGTTTCCAAAGTTCGCTGATGTTGTACATTATCAAGATTTCATTGCTTCTTGTGGATGGTAGTATTCCATTGTATGCTGGTGAGCCAGTTACAGGTTGGTGGATAGTTACGTTGTTTCCATCTTTTGGCTATTGTGAATAGTGATGCCATGGAAATTGATATGCAATTATTTGTTTGCATTCCTGCTTTCAGTTTTTTGGGGTTATGGATTGCTGGATCTTATAGTAATTCTAACTTTTTGAGGAAATGCCAAGCAATTTTACACACCGGCTGTACCATGTTACAATTCCACCAGCAATGGGAAAGGGTTCCTATTTTTCCACCAGTTGTTTTCTGCTTATTTATTTTAAAAAAATATATATTATTGTGAATTATGTGATAGTTTACATGGGAGAACATTAGTTTTACATTCATCCTATCGTATATCATTTCATTGCCATGGTTACAATCCCCTCCATGCATCATGAACCAACCAAAGGGTATACCTTGCAAGCCTGCTCTGTTTATTTTTTAAATTAAAAAAATAATTACCATTGTCATCTTAGTGAACATGAAGTGATAATTTGGCTCTTTAATTATAGTCCTTTTCAGTTGTCTCTTATGCATGTGAAAGATGGGCAATGAATAAGGACGACCAGAGAAGAATTGATGTATTTGAATTATGGTGTTGGCAAAGAATATTGAAAGTACCCTGGACTGCCAAAAGAACAAATCTGTTTTGGAAGAAGTGCAGCCAGAATGTGCCTTAGAAGCAATATGGCAAGAACTTTATCTCACACACTTTGGAGGACAGGTCATCAAGAGGGACCAGTCGCTGGAAAAAGACATCATCTTGGCAAAGTAGAGGGTCAGCGAAAAATGAAAGACCCCCAAGGAGACGCAGTTGTTGCAACAATCAGCTCAATCATGCCAACCATTGTGAGGATGGTACAGAGCTAGGTAGGGTTTTGTCCTGTTGTGTAGAGCCGCTGAGTCCAAGCTGACTCCATGGCGCCACCTTACAGCAAGTGGGTGAATATCATTGTAGTTTTGATTGCATTTCCCTGAGGACTAATATAGTTGATGTGTATACATTTCCCGTGGAGAAAAATCTCTTCAAGTCCTTTGCCCGCTTTTTAATTGGTTGACTTTTTGAGATGTGAGAATTTTTACAGCTGGGTTCTGGATGCAAGCCCCCATCAGATATATGACTTGCAAAAAAATTTTTTCACTTTCTGTGCATTGTCTTTTTATTTTTGTGATGATGTCATTTGAGTACAAACATATTTAATTTGAATTAGTTCAATTTAGCTGTTTTCTCTAGTCTCCCATGCATTTACTGCTAAGAAACCAGTCACATCCAACATTCGTAAGAATTACTTTGTTTTTTGTTCCTATTAAACAACTTCTAGCTATACAAATTTTCAAATCCTTTGCTCATTTTTTAATTGGTTATCTTTTTACAGCTGGATTCTGGATGCAAGTCCTGCATCAGATCTATGACTTGCAGATGTGCATGCGAAAGTCGGACACTGAATAAGGCAGACCTTAGAAGAACTGATACATTTGAGTTCATAGTGTTGGAGAAGAATATTGAAAAGTACCATGGACTTCCAGAAAAACAAATCTGTGTTGAAAGAAGTACAGCCAGAATGCTTCTTTGAAGCAAAGATAGTGAGATTTTGTCGCTCATACTTCGGACATACCAGGAGGGATCAATTCTTGGAGAACATTGTGCTTAGTAAAGTGGTCAGCGAAAAAGAGGAAGAACACACTAAGATGGGCTGACACTGTAGCAGTAGCAATGGGCTCAAGCATAACAACTGTGAGGACGGCGCAGGGTCTGACAGTGTTTCGTTATATGGTGCATACGGTCGTTAAAGTCAGAAGCGAGTCAACAGCGGTGTCTTGTTTTCTTCCTGCCCAACGCAGGAAGGTGACGTCAGACGAAGGCGCGCAGAAGAAATCTCGCGCAAGCGTACGATGTACACGCGTCGACACCTTCAACGCTGCAGCCAGCCTCTTAGCGGAAATCTCGCGATCGCAGAGGGAGCCATTTTTTCCGCGCCTGCGCAGGCAGCGCGTCTATCCGGCGACTGTCTACCTTGGTTATGCAGCCGCGCCGCTGGGCCCGCCCTCCTCCGCTCCGCCTCCAGCCTTCGTCCATCTCTGACTTTCCTGCCCCCGCGACCCTGTCAGCCCCCTACTCCTTCAGCCCCGACTCTTTCTCAGGATATTCCCCACCCCCGTGTTCTTGGGTTTTGCCTCAGACCCCCTTCTCACAGCAGGATGGGGGACAACACCAGCCCCATCAGCGTGATTCTGGTGAGCTCGGGAAGCAGGGGCAATAAGCTGCTGTTCAGATACCCCTTCCAGAGAAGTCAGGAGCACCCGGCGTCCCAGACAAGTAAGAGGCCATTGGGCGCGGGCGCTTCTGCGCATGCGCCCGGCGTCCACCCAGCGGCGCGGTGGTCCCTTGGCGGCTCCGACGTCAGGGTCTTGCGTTGTCTAATCCTGATCGCACGTCGGGCGTACTGGATCGTCGAGTGTATGGAAATACAGAAAAGCCAAAGAAATTTTTAAAACCACTCAGTTCAGTATTCCCAAGCAACTTTTATTAACGTTTGGTCAGCCTTCCAGCCTTCTAACAATTGTTTTTTAAATACGAAAGCTGTATGAATGTAGTTATATTGGGGGGAAATGTAGACCTACGAGTACATCTAAGTTTTCTTAGGCCGTTTCGTCTAAGTTCGGCTCCTCTTCCCCACTCCAGAGATAACTACTTACTCAGATCCTTGTTTGCTTTGTTGAGTGCGGTGACGTCTTTTGTGACCCACTTCAAACTGACCTTATGGCCCAGTGCTTACACCAGGACTCCCGCAGACAGATCGTATCCGGAGTAAAATAGCATTTCTCTCATGTGCATGTAGTCTGCAGCCTCACTGTTCTGTCTTGAAATCCCTTTGAGTTTAGAAAAATGGACGGTAACCTTCCTGGTATTTGCGGCATACCGCTGCTTTCTTCCTCTGTTGATGACCAGTTAGGATACTTGCAGTTTTCCACTGTTACTATGAGTGTTTGATTTTTAATTTTTTAAAAGTTATTTTTAACTTACCTTTAAACTTGCTAATTTAAGACAAGTTTTAAAGGTACAAAGGGGTTTATATTATGCAAAGAAAGCGCTTTATTACAGTTGACGCATGGTAACCCAGTTTCTCCTGTTGGGGAACCCAGCCACCTCTCTAGAATCTTTTGTACAGATACAAGCATATACACACATTGTTGTATTTTCTCAACATGAGTTGTAGCATATGATACACACTACTCTGCATCTATTTTGTTTTAATTTTACATATTGGATATAAAATCAAAAGAAAGGGCATTATTTAAAAAAAAAAATAAGTGCAGTGAATTCTATGAGATGAATATACTGTGATTTATTCATCCACATCTCTGCAGATGGATGCCTACATTGATTCCAGTCTTTTGTTCTACAAACACTGCTTCTGCCTGTGTTTCTGTCATTTTATAGATTATCTGTCAAATCAATTTCCAGAAGTGGAATGGTTGGGTCTAAAGGATAATGAGTGTTTTTAGTCGTAATAGATCAGGTTTTTCCATCTCTGCTAATCTAGTAGGTGAAAAATTGTATCTCAGGTTTAAAAGAAAAATTTGGTGAAAATATGCACACCAGAATCTTTACTAACACACCTTCTACATTTACAGTTCATTTGCATTGATTTCTTTTTTCATGCTGTTGTTGTGTGCTGTTGAGTTGGTTGTGACCTGTAGTGACCATGTATAGGGTTTCCAAGGAACAGCTGGTGAGCTTGAACCACTGACCTTGTGGTTCAGACCAACTTTGTAGTTCAGCGCATTAGCCTAGACCACCTTTATTGCTCTTTTTCCAAAGTACTCTACCAACGGTAACATAAACTCAAAATTCACAAAAACTCCTAAACAAAAGCTCCCCCTTTTCCTCTCCTTCCCACCCCTGGTACCATTAATAATGAGAAAATACAGTATCTCCTTTGGCAACTCATTTATTTCAGTCGGTATAATATTTTCAAGGTTCATCCATTTGTGGCACGCATCACCACTCACTCCATTTCTCTTTGTTGTTGAGTGCCCTTGAGCTGTTCCGACTTGCATAGGGGTTCTGGGACTGTAGATCTTTACAAGAGTAGAAAGCCTCATCCTTCTGACTTCGTGGTCAGCAGTCCGGTGCTTATTCTACAGAGCCTCAGAACTCTCTTCATGTGTCTTTATGGCTGCGTACTATTGTATGTGTGCTGGACGTTTTGGTCATTGGTGAACAGGTTTGATTTCTGTTCTATTTGCATTTTTCTCGTAGTAGTTTTAATGTGCCCTGAGTTCACTCTGGGAATGCCGCTGAGCATCTTCTCTTAGTTCCACACTCATCTAGCTTTACCATGGCTTTTCTTGTTTACTTTCCTGTGGGAACCTAGAAATCAGCTGCTTTCGGGGCCACTCCCAAAGTTGTTGCTATTTTCAGTAGAGGTAGTTTCAAATGTATAATCTGGGAAAAAGCGGTATCTTTTTGCTGAACCTTCATTTTCAAGAACATGGAATATCTTCGAGGTTTCTGCCTTCCTTACAGCTCTTACTTTCTTCTTAAGTTCAACACTAGGATTGTAAACTTTTAAAAAATTAACCAAATTATTGTTGAAGTCTATGAAAACTATTGATACGTGAACATTTTAAAACTCATTCTTTTATTTGTGATCTGGCTGCTGATCTCACAGTCAGCAGTTCGAGACTGCCAGCTGCTCCATGGAAGAAAGATGAGGCGTTCTGCTCCTGTAAAGATTTACCGCCTCAGAAACCCTGTGCAGGGTCGCTATGAGTCGGAACCGACTCCACGGCACATAACATTTGCCGTTTTACTATGTGTGTATATTGTTGTTGTTAGGTGCCATCAAGTCGGCTCCCACCCCTAGTAGCCCCATGAGCAATAGAACACAACAGTGCTGGGCCCTGCACCATCCTCACAGTTGTTGCTCTGCTTGAGGCCACTGTTACTGCGCCAGTCCACTGCTTGGAGGGTCTTCCTCTTTCTCACTGACCCTCCATTTTACCTAGCATGATGTCCTTCTCCAGGGACTAGTCCCTCCTGATAACATGTTTTCCCAGCAGTCCATGGTACTTTGAATATTCTTCTCCAACACCATAATTGAAATGTATCGCTTCTTCTACAGTCTTCCATATTTACTGCATGTGAGGCTACTGAAGATACCATGGCTTGGATCATGCGCACCTTAGTTCTCACCTGATGTCTTCGCTCATGAACACTTTCAAGAGGTCTTGTGCAGCAGATTTGTCTAATGTAATGTGTCATTTGATTTCTTGACTGCTACTTGATGCTTTTGAGTCATGGTGTTGGAGGAGAATATAGAAAGTGCCATGGACTGCCAAAAGAACCAACAGATCTGTCTTGGAAGAAGTGCAGCCAGAGTGCTCCTTGGAAGCCAGGATGGCCAAACATCGTCTCTCATACTTCAGACATATTGTCAGGAGGGACCAGTCACTGGAGAAGGACATCATGTTTGGTAAAGTGGAGGGTCAGAGAAAAAGAGGAAGAGGCCCAGCGAGATGGATTAGCAAAGTGGCAGCATCGTTGGACTCAAGTGTGGCAACAATTGTGAGGTTGGCCCAGGACTGGGCAGTGTCTTGTTCTGTTGTCCATAGGGTCACTATGAGTCGGTACCAACTCGATGGCACCTGACAACAACCACAGTCCACTCATGGAGTCCTGGTGTGGCTCTTCAATGAATGCGCTGGACTGCAAAGTCGATTTGAACTGAAAAGTCAGCGATTCCAGCTCACTAGGTGCTCCTCGGGAACTTTCTAGAGCATCACTATGAGTCGAAACCGAATCAAAGGCACTTAGCACCAACATTCCATCATATGTGGTTGAATCGACGTTTCTAGCCGGTCTCTCCTTTTTACCACACAGATAAGCCACATAGCAGATACGCTGTTAACAGCACAAGTGACCACACTGAGGACCAGGATGGAGACTCCAGGTAAGGGACCTGCTGCCACCTCAGAATTTGGGTAGTCTTGTGCACCGGCCCTTGGCGAAGCCTCCCTCCTGCTGCCCCAATGCTTTTGCCCCTAAAATGCAGGGTCTTTTCCACAGACATTTAGTTAGTCTTCCGAATAGCTCAGATCTGGGAGTTGTACTGCTAGTCTCTGCCTTGCCTCCTACTTTGAGCACATGTTTCAGCTGTGGACTGTGGCTGGAAAGCTGGCTGTCATGCAGGACATTTAACACTGTGAAGCAGACCCCAGTGCGACCCTCAGACACGGTGCCTCATGCAGGCTGACCTGGAGCCTGAGGTGCAGCCTTCCCTGGCCAGGTGGTGATATGGGTGGTGGGGCTGAGCCTGGGGCTGTGGTGAGCTTTGCAGATCTTCTAGGTACAGAATCCCTCTGTGAGTGGGGAGAGCTCTCAGGGTGAAACCATCAGCAGTGATCAGTTCTGCCTTCTTACATTCATTTAAAAATGGGATAAGTGGTAACTTGGGAGTCCTGGGGTGGCACTGTGGGTTAATGCGCCAGGCTGCAAAGCCATTTGAATGGCAAGATGGGCGGTTCAAGCTCACCAGCTGCTCTTCGGAAGCTCTATACAGGGTCGCAATGGGTTGGAATCAACTCAACAGCACTTAACAACAAGTGGTAACTTAGAAGACCATAGTAGAATTGATGCATTGAGTTATGGTGTTGGAAGACAATATTAAAAATGCACCGTGGATTGCCGAAAGAACAAGCAGATTTGTGTCGGAAGAAGTACAGCCGGAGTGCCCCTTAGAAGCCAGGATGACCAGACTTCGTCTCTCATACTTTGGACATAGTGTCAGGAGGGACCAGTGTCTGGAGAAGGGCTTCATACTTGGTAAACTGGAGCGTCAGCAGAAAAGAGGAAGACCCCCAATGAGATGGATGGGCACCCCCAATGAGCAGCAGTGGGTTCAAGTGTAGCAACCATTGTGAGGTTGGTGCAGGACTGGGCCATATTTGGTTCTGTTGTGCATAAGGTCGCTGTGAGTCGGTACCAACGTGATGGCACAGAGCAACAAGGACAACTCGGGTGAAGGAAGATCCTGAGGTGCCCATCTTGGGTCTCCTACATCGGGTAAGGGACTTGGTCTCTGCTGTCCCAGGGAGAAAGTAGCCGAGGTTTCTGAATCGGGTCTTTGCCGTATAACACGGTCCTCTCATGTCTTCTCCAGTCCCTTCACAGGTGTCATGTCAGCCAGAGCTACATGCGGTTTTCAGAGTGTGACTTTTGCTCTCTCTGTGCCCCAGCCTAGCCCTTAGCAAGGGGAGCTCGGTTTGGAAGAGCCATCCATAGGTGTAGGGTGTGGGGGGGCTGTTCTGCATGTTGTTGTGATCTGTGACTGTGTTGTCCTTGAAAGATGCTAACTGAGGACGTGGGTGTGTGTGTTTTGTTCTCTGCTTGGACTGATGAGCTTGGCGTTCAGCTGACCCCACTATTCCTCTGTCCAGCAGCAGACTTGAGGCTAGAAATGGTCTGTGTGAAGGAAGCAGTGCCTGCTGCCTGCTGTTGGTTTTCAGAGGCTTATAGTGAAATAAAGTAGCCCTGACAGTGTTTTCCAGGGAATTGATGATCTAATGTACTGAATGGAGAACTGCAGGGAAGGTGTAATCAATTGTGGGTGTGTCAGTAGGGCTCACAGACAGGCGTGGTCTCCGAATCTCATTTATTAAATGTTAGAATCACTTCATTTGATAATTTTGACACATTGTAGCCTTTATTGATGCCCCCTCTCCCAACTTTTCAAAGTTGCAGATAATACCCTTAGGGCGCTGTTCATTCCCCTCTGGCTTAGTTTTGCCTCCGAGGCCCCGTTGCTCCTCCCCTGGCACCCGTGGGAAGTAGTCCTAGAGCTGTAAAGTAAAGGTGGGTTAAGTCCATTTTCTGGGGTTTCTTTGAGCTGGTGGTCTTCTCTCTGGCGTCAGCAGAATATTCCCATTTGGTCAGTTTGCTGGAAAGAAACGATGCCAACCTACAACACAGTAACTTCTGAAGGTGGCAGTGGAAGGTCATTTAGCTCCTCAGTTGTACTCGCCACAACTCAGAGGCTCAGTAGCCACATGGGACTGGTGAGTGGAAAGTCATGCTGGACCGCACTGACTTAGAGAGAGGCTTGGTTATAAAGTGACCATCAAGAATGTGCTTCCGGGTACAGGAAGTAGCTGTCACTCACTTTTCCCTTTCTAGATTTCAGTAACAAGGGAAGAAAGTGGACATTGTCCATTGTCTCAAGGTCTGAAAAGTTGTTCTGTTGATTGGGCCTTAGGAGCTGGGATGCCGAGTGATTGTGTCATGAGTCCCCAACACTGGCAGGGGCAGAGGTCAGCAAGAGAGGTGTCCCTCAGAAGAGCTGGTGTGGCATGTCCACCTCTGCTTTCCTCCCCAGGGGTCACTGTCTTAGAGGAGACTTGATGGTTTCTTTTAGGGGCACATGCTCAGAACTCATTTTACTTTCCCCACAGTTCAGAAGACCTTCCTGTGCTGGATGGCTTTGTCCCCATCCTGTTGTTCTCAGGAGGAAGCATTAGGGGGCTGTGGAATGTGGTGGGTGCTGCAGGCATCCTCAGACTCAGCCATCTCTCACAGCCATGGGTCAGCATGAGGACACACTTGGTCCCTGGATAGACTTCAGCCCTCACCGGTGCTCACAGGGCTCCTCCGGAGCCTCTGGGCAGCTGTCTCCAGTGTGTGGGCTTAGGGCTGTCCTATGACATTAGAGAGATGCTTCCTGCATCCTGGGCCTGAGGTCAGGAGCATCACCCCCAGACTTGAGCATCTCCCACCCTCCCTCGGCCCTCACAGGTCCCTGCAGGGCAGCATGCAGTGACCAGGATAGCACAGGATACCACCCCATCTGGGCTTGATCTTGACTTTGTCTCCGACATTGGGTGGTCTTGGGAACCCTTTGTACTTGCCATCCATGTCCCCTTGGTAGGATGACAGCATAGTGCATGCTTTGGGTTGTGAGGGGCTCCTGCCTCTGCCTCCCTCAGAGGCTCCAAACACTGCCAGCCCTCAGAAATCCTGTGGCTGTGTTCCTTCCAGACCCCACCTGGCTCCCTCCCTGTGCAGGTGATATGTGTGTGTAGTTGTAGGAGAGAAAGCAGAGACAGCCTCGGGGGGTGGGGAGCTCCGGAAAGGACTGTGAACATCTTAGACTGATACCGTGCGGCCCGGAGCTCCTGGAGAGCTTTCCCAGTAGGCAGCTTCCATCCTTTGTCACCACCCACACCTCCCAGTTCCACTGCCGGCAACGCTCAGTTAGGACAGCGCCCAAGTCCCCACAGAGTCCAGGGTACAGACACGCATACACAGCTCCACTGTGACTGCCTCCTGTGGGTCTGTGCAGAGGCTCGGGTTCCTAGAACTGGCCCGATGGTGTTTATGCAGTACTGTGTTCAGAGGTGTGTAAATCTCCTGGTTCCTGTGGAGGCGGTGAGAAACCTGTTCCGGGAAGGATTTATGCATGTACACAGGTTATCCAGCTAATACGTGTGGTGCTGGGGTTGAACCTGGTCCGCCAGCTACACTTAGTGCTGAAAAGTGAACCTCTGTTCTCGCCAGCCCGTATATACACGTGAGACTCTGAGCTTGACTGGGAGAACTATGTGGTAAGTGTTCAAGGTGGGGAATTTTATTGTTGGTTTGGACACTCCGCAGTTACGCTTGATGATGGTACTGTGAGATGTGAATACTGGTTTTATAAAGCACCGTGTAACTCTGCATGGGTTGTAAAAACAGTGTGTTTGTGTTTGGTCTTGATGGTCGTGTTCCTATTCCAGCGAGCCCTGTCCTCCAACTGATGACCAATTAGTTGCAGGGTAAGACCCAAGACTACCCCCACCCCTTTCTTTCTGCCTTGATTCCTGCTTCCTTATCTCTCGTAATTGTGCTTAATTCCCATCTCCTCAATGTTGAAGGATGAACTAATGAAGCACACAGCTCTGGCTCGTACCTCACCGCCCGCCCCAGCCCTCTGCCTTCTTCCCCACCCTGGATTGTGTAGCTGCTTGGTCTTAATTCTCTTTCCTCGAGGGGCTATGCCATGGCTGGTGGGCAGCTCACCTTCCCAGCCCTGTCAGCCCAAGGAGAGCCTGGCTGCTGGCTCCACTTCTCAGAGGTTCGGCGAGGCCTTCTCTGCAGAGTAGGGTGTTAGGTATGAAGCTCAGACCAAGGCTTTCTTCCACGGGGTTTGTACAAACATGTTCAGGGGGTGGTAGGCGAGGTGGGACCCTCCTGTCCCCACGTCATGCTACTTGGAATTATTGTTCCCAGGAGTCGGAAGTGACTGAGTCACACGGCAGGGAGGTGGTGGTCAGTGCCTCAGGCTGCCTCAGAAAGCTGGGTTGCAGGGCATCATCCTACATCCGCTGTCTTGAATTTCTGTTCTTGCAGGAATCTCTAGTTGTCATAACGGCAGTTTGATGGTGTTGCAGTACGTTTCTAAAGCAGTTACATCTCCATCTATGCAAAGGAAGAGAATTGTCGTTTTGGAAATCTGCAAACCATTGGGGTCACTTGTTTGTGGTTCCCTTTTGTTTTACAACAGTGTGCCCTGCATCTCCCAACACAGCTCCGAATGTGTCTGTATGTCATCACCGCACACATAGAGTGAAGCTGCTCGAGCACTTTCTCATCATCTTTTCTCATTAATGAACCAGTACAGTAAGCTACAGTGAGTGGACTTCTGTGGGGCCAAGCCCCGTCCACCTCCCAGCTGAGCCTGCTTGTGGGCAGTGAAGCCCTTCATTCCCACAGCTCTCAGCTGTCCACTTGCTGCGTCTGCAGACCCTGTCCTTACCCAGCCCAGGGGGGAGCACTTCTGTGTGACTTATAACACCTGGGAGTGGGGTCTTTGTAACTGAACTGGGCTGTATCTACCTCTGAGGAACCCAGGGCCCCTTACATCAAGCCCCTAGACTGCTGGCCCAGGGTGGGGCTTGTTTGTGACTGGATTACGGCTGTGCTTCACTGGAGATGTTTGCTTATCACTAAAGTTGAGTTTTCTGGAGTGGGCGAGGTCACCTCTCTGTTATCTCTGTGTCCCCTGAGACGTAGAATGTTGGCACTGGGTCAACATGAGGGGTGTTCCATGGCAGAGGGAGCCACCTAGAAGTTCCTGAGGAGGTGTTAAAGGGCATGTGTGCCACCTTCTGTGCCTTTGGTTTCGTCACAGCAGAGAACAGGATTCCAGATACAGGGTGGAATGTTCACACAACTCACCCATCAGCAGAGACCCAGCTGAGTCCTGGCCTGCACTGGTGTGCTCTGCCGTCACCAGGGCCACTCGAGAAGGCTAGAGGCCTTTATGAGTCCTGGCTGAGGCCCGAGAACCTACGCAGCACTGGGCTCAAGAGACTGCTCCTCCCAGCAGATAGGAGCCTGGAAGGAAGAAAGGGTCTTCCTACTTATAGCAGAGCCCCCCACCCTCACCCCCCACACTTCCTTCAGAGGGCAGAGCCTCTGGTGCTTGTTACCTGCCCCCAACCATGGGGGGCCTCAGGACAAAGATACCTGGAACATCTGTCCACCACTAGGGCCTGCTGTAGGAGCCACAGTGGTCTCAGGGCACCACCGTGTTAGATGTGTTGCTTATGGTGGAGAGATGGGCAAGGACCAGAGTACAACCATTCTCTGGGGTTGGTGGTGCCCAGCCGTGTCTCCCTGATGCTGGTATCATTTGTAAATAATGGGGATTGTAGCTTTGCGTATCTAAATGTTTCTCTGGATACAGATTGGAAAGTCTGTGTTGGTGGTAAGGAAGTGAAGGGACTAAGAGGCCTAGTTTGAGGCTTTCCTTAGCACACTGCCACTCCCTCCGGTGCTGAGGGCTGCGGACCTGGCCACAAGCCCCCTCCTCTCTGATCCTAGCTGGCCTCCCTTCTGAAGTTCCCGCCCCGCGTTCTCTCTTGAACTTGTACAGCACACGACAAATGACCGCATGTGCCCAGCTGCTTGTCACGTCTCCACCATGTAATTCTGGTGATTGAACCACCCTGATCTTGGGACTCACCTTAGAGATGCCAGAGCTTCCATCTGCAGGGTACTCCGTAGTTCTGCGTAGCTGCCCTCGGGGAACCTGGGGGAGGGGCTGGTGCTGTGACCTGCCCTCATTGGCTTCTTTTCTGCCTGTCTTTTTTTTTTCTTTTTCTTTCTTTTTTCCTAAGGTTTTCAGATGTTATTCTGGCAACAATTTTGGCAACCAAGTCTGAGATGTGTGGTCAGAAATTTGAACTGAAGATCGATAATGTGCGGTTTGTTGGGCACCCAACACTCCTGCAACATGCTCTGGGGCAGGTAGGACCCACCCTGGGCAGGTATTGGGTTGATCCTTGCAACTGTGGCCTGGTACTACACACCCTTAGACTGTGGGGGACAGTGGGGTACAGTGGGGAGAGAGAGAGCTTGCCCTCAGTCCAGGTGCTTTCACAAAGTCGTTTTCCGGGCCTGCTGACAACGGCCCTTTCTCAGATAGGGACTTACACAGACAAAGCCTTGAACTTCGTGTGAAGCATTTCTCCTTTCCCGTGTGATGCTAATGTGAGAGCTAATGCATTGGGCACCGTCAGTGTGTCAGACGCTCCAAACGCACTGAAAGGATTCCTGCGATTGGATGCCAGGTCCCTGAGTATCAGCCCAGGGCTCAGTTTGCCTGGCCCAGGAACCATGTGCAATCCCAAGGTCACTCTGGAAAGACATTGTGGTAGCAGGTAGCTTAGATACAAAGCTGTCCCGTCTCCTCTGGCTGGTGCCCTTTGTAGTCACGGATGCCAGGTTCCTGCCTTACTGCGCCTCCTGGCAGTCCAGTCGGGGGAGGAGGAACAATTTAGCAGCTGCTGGTAACTGCAGACAGTGTGTCCAGCCCTGGGTCTTGGAACTCTGGCGCTGCCTGATGGTAATACCAAGCCGCTGTTTAGGGCCGAGGTGTGAGCCCACAGGCCCAAGGGAAGGCTTGGTTGTGAGTCACCTGCTCAGGCCACTGCTGCCCTGTGTGCTAGCCTGCCTGCTGTCACACTGGAGGGATGCCTGGGTAGATGCAGGTGGACGCTGGACAGTGGGAGTGGGCAGGCACCATTCCATCCGGTTTTGCCCCTCTTTGTTCCCCTTCCCTCTGGGCATTCTGCTCATGAGTGGGTCCCATTGCCTTGGGCCCAACACTCGACCCCCTACCCGTAGTCACAGACAGTCTGACTTTCAGGAACTCCAGACTCTGCTCCCTTCAGGTTTTGCAGCACTCTGGCATTCCTGGGCCTGGAGGACAATAAACAACTTTTCCTGAAAACAGTAACACTCGTTGATAGAATTATGTCTCTTTTACAGGGATCCAAAACAGATCCATCCCCAAAGAGAGAGACGCCCACCATGATTCTTTTTAATGTGGTGTTTGCTCTGAGGGTGAGTGCTGGGGGTAAGGCGACACATGCAAGCCTGGGAGCAGGGATGAGGTCATTTTTAGTTAGTGTGTCCTCAGCAGACATGCAGCTCTGCAGAAAACACAGCCCTGGGTGAGGACCAGGTGCTGCTGTAAAGGACAGCTCAGTGGCAGCTTTCACCAGAGGGTGTCGGGTGGTGGTGGGGTGACTGGGCCTTAGGGAACGAGGCGGGGGGCCTGTCCAGTGAGTGGCCACCGAGACTTCTGGTCTTGGTGCAATGACTCAGCGTCAGTCAGGGCAGAGCCCATGTTGGACGGTCACCCTTCTAGTGACTGGGGTTTTCCCTGGTGTGTAGGTTCAGGGGGATGCTGGCATCTACTTCCTACATTTATAGATTTCCCTTGTAAAGCAGCCAGAGAGAGAAGTGGGCTAGGTAAAGAAGCACCTACAGCTATGTCAGCGCCGTCTCTGTCCACACTGATAACAGGGAACATCACAGCCCCACCCAGGCGCTGCACTGGAGAGCAGCAAGGGAAGGCCCTCTGGTCACAGGCCCGTATGACTCAGGGCCCTATCAGGAACTCTGCAGATGGCATGACTGTACAAAGATTTGTAGGGTGACACTGGCATGAGACAAAGTGGTTGATGTAGTGAGGCCAGAGGCATGGACTAGGTGGTCCCTGGACAGGTGTGGGGATGACTTCTACAGGTGGCCCACCGTGCATGAGGGGAAGGTGACTGACGCCAGGAGTTGGTAACTCAGGGTGGACTGGACTTTTTTCCTCCTCAGTGTGGTGAAGTGCCATCTAGTCAGTTCCAGTCCATGTTGTTGTTGGATGCCGTTGAATACCTTATTCCTGGGCTGGCGCCGTGAGTTAATACACTGGACTGAAAGGTCGGTGCTTCAAGCTCACCAGCTGCTCCTCAGAAACCCTATACAGAGTCGCTAGGAGTCAGTAACAGCTCCACAGTACTTAACAACAACATTACACAACAGAACACAACATTGTCCCATCCCAGGCCATTCTCACAACTGTAATGACACTTGAGTCCTTTGTTGCTGCCACTGTGCCAATTCATCTTCATCTCCACTGACCCTCCACTTTACCAAGCATGATGTTCTTCTCCAGGAACGGGTCAGTCCTCATAGTCTGTCTGAAGGATGAGAGAGGAAGTCTCACCATCCTGTCGTCTGTGGCGCATTCTGGCTGCACTGCTTCGGCACAGATTGCTCTGTTCTTCAAACCGTCCATAGCACTTTCAATATTCTTCTCCAACACCGTAACTCAAATGCATCAATTATTCTATGGTCTTCCTTAGTCACTGTCCAACTTTCACATGCGTCTAAGGCAATTGAAAGTACCATGGTTTGGATCAGGCACACCTTAGTCCTCAAATTGACATCTTTGATCATCAACACTTTAAGAGGCCTTGTGCAGCAGCTTTGCCTAATATGATACGTTGTTTCATTTCTTGATTGCTGCTTCCATGAGTGTTGATTATGGCTCCAGGAAAAATGAAGTCTTTGATAACTTCAATCTTTTCTTCATTTATCATGATATTATTTATTGGTCCAGTTGTGAGAATCTTTGCATTGAATGTTGTAGTCTTTGATTTTCATCAGTAAATATTTTAAGTTATCTTCACTTTCAGCAAGCTTGTATCATTTACCTATCTCAGGTTGTTAATGAGTTATCCTCCAATCCTGATGCCATTTTCTTACTCATAGAATCCAGTTTCTCAGGCTGTTTGCTCAGCATACAGATTGAATAAGAATGGTGGAAGAACACAGCCCTGGTGCACACCTTTCCAGATTGTAAACCTTCAGTATCCGCTTGTTCTGTCTGAATGACTGCCTCTTGGTCTATATACAGGTTCCTCATGAACACAATCAAGTGTTCTGGAATGCCAGTTGATTCTTAGCAGTGTTATCCATAGCTTGTTATGATCCACACAGTCAAAAGTCTTTGCATAGTCAGTAAAGCACAAGTAAACATCTTTCTGGTGTTCTCTGCTTTCAGCCAAAATCCATCTGACGTCAGCAATGATATCTCTAGTCCCACGTCCTCTTCTGAATCCAGTTTAAGGTTCTGGTAGTTTCCTGTTGATGTCCTGATGCAGCCATTTTTTAATTCCCTTCAGCAAAATTTTACTTACATGTAATACTACTGATAGTGCTAACTGATTTCCACATTCCATTGGTTTACCTCTCTGTGGAATGGGCACAAATATGGATCTCTTTCAGTCAGTTGGCCAGGTAGCTGAAAGCTTCCAGATTTCTTGGCACAGATGAGAGCGTGCCTACAGTGCAGCTTCAGTTTGTTGAAAGATTTCAGTTTTATTCTATCAATTCCTGGAACTTTGTTTTTCACCAGTGCCTTCCGTGCACCTCGGACTTCTTCCCTAAGTGCTGTTGCTTCTTGACCAGATGCTACCTCCTGAGATGGTTGAAGGTCCGCCATTTCTTTTCGGTATAGTAACTCTGTGCATACCTTCCATCTTCTTTTGATGCTTTCTGTATCATTCAATATTTTGACCATAGAATCCTTCAGTATTACAAGTCAAAGCTTAAATATTTTTCTTCAGTTCTTTCAGCTTGAGAAATGCTGAGCATGCCCTTCCCTTTTGGTTTTCTAACTCCAGGTCTATGCACATTTCATTATAGTACTTGACTTTGTCTTCTCAAGCTGTCTTTTGAAATTTGCTGTTCAGCTCTTGTACTTTCTCATTTCTTCCATGTACTTTAGCATCTCTATACTGGAGCGCAAGGTTCAGCATCTTCTGACATATATTTTGGTCTCTTTCCTTGTATTTTTAATGGCTTTTCGCTTTCTTCCTGCATCCTGTTCTTGATGTCATTCCACAGCTCTTCTAGTCTGTGGTCCATTAGTATCTAATGCATCATAACAACCTAGTGTAGGACTTTCAAGGAGGGGCTGGTGGGTTTGAACCACCCCATTGGGTTAATAGTTCAGTGCTTACCCTACACATCACAGCAGTACTTCTCAGTAGGCATATAAAGTGTCTACTTGGAACCATTCGAAGTGCCCTTACACATCCATCTGAGGTTCGCAGCCTGGCTCCTCTACTTCCTTCTCTCACTCATTATTGCTCAGATATTTTCAGGTAAAAGCAGACCTTGGTCACCCGAGCTTACTTCCCGATCATGGCTCTGTAAACTCTGGGTATTTGATTTGATACCACAAAGCCTGGATCCCTCCTGACAAAATTCTTCACATCAGCATCAGCTAATATACATGTCACTAAAAATGCTCCCAGTTGCCAAAACACGTTTCCCATTGGACTGCCTGACCATCCAGACCATCCTAGAAGGCCCCCTGCCTCAACCTGATTGCCCAGTGAGACCTGTCCACGGGACATTAGCTCTGTGCTCGTTCATATCCCGCTGTGAGACTCTGGGGCAGGAAGAATTTTGGTGCAGCCTGGCTGTGTGTGCCGCACCATGGCATCTGGGGCAGCCTAGCATGTTCATGTGCAGACAGCGTTGGTGTGGCCTGGTCTCAAATGATCAGGTGACAGCCTCCTTCTCTCCCGCTGGACTGGGAGGTTCCTATCCAGTCTTTTCTGTGTGTTGGAGTTCGAGGTGATTGTGTTTACCCTACAAAAACCAGGCCCTGACCTGTGGGCTGTAGGGAAGAGGCTGTGGAGGGGACCCCTAGATAAGGAGGGTGTGAGGTCGCTTTCTGGGACAGGATCATACTTGCCCCCCTGCAGGGGAATGCTGTCAAAACTCGAGTTCTGTTGCACTCTGTCCTACCCGGGAGCTGAGCTGAGGTTGGAGTTCTGGCCAGAGCTTGCCTGTGGCCCTCTGTGTGGGTCTTTGTCTGTGTACTGGATAAGCCGTGAGAAGCAGCTGTCCAGGCCCCCTAATCAGTGGCACCAGCCTTCTCCACCCCTGTAATGACTCATCAGTTCTGCTTGTCTCCTGAAACCCTTAGTCATGATGGCTCACAATCGATACCTCAGGCGTCCTCCCGGCCTTGCCTGGCCCACCTGTGGCCCCTGATAGGCTCCAGAGGCCAAGGCAAGACGCTTCCTGTTAGTGAGAGCCCACCCAGCTCCTGGAAATGCTTGGCTCTGGTATGCATGGGAGTGGGCCTTGGTCTGTCTCCCAGGGCATGTGGAGTGGTGCACCGGATTCGATGTGGCCGCTGGTTCTGCGTCCACGTTTTGTAGACCAGGCACTATGTTTGTCTTATCCCTGCCCCTTGTACTTTACATGCATGACTAGTTTCTGCATCTCAGTAAACATTGGGTCTCCTCAGATGAGGAAGCTGAGATGCAGGGTGAAGGTGGGTGACCTTTTCTGGGCCCGCTGCCCTCCTGTGCAGGTCCAACATGGTGGCCCTACCACACGGCATAGCCCACAGGGACCCCAGTGAGTTCTGTGTTGCCATCCCCACTGCAGTTCCCAGTGCCCTGCCCTAGGCACTGCCCACAGCTTCTGGGGGTCTGGTCACGTGGGCTCCTGTAGGACTCCGCTCTGCCCACTCGTTCTCACCCCCAGGCCAACGCGGACCCATCGGTCATCAGCTGCCTACACACCCTATCACGGCGCATCGCAGTGGTGCTGCAGCATGAGGAACGGCGCTGCCAGTATCTGAGCCGCGAGGCCAAGCTGATCCTGGCGCTGCAGGACGAGGTCTCCGCCATGTCTGACGGTGAGTGCGGGCAGTCTAACGCTGGGGGTGCAGGACCCTGCCAGGGACCAGTGCCATCTGTTCAGTAAAGCTCTGGGGCCTTGAATTGACCTGAAGTCCTGGACTGCTAACTGGAAGGTCGGCGGTTCAAATCCATCAGCTGCTCCTGGTACACCCTATGCAGCGTGGTTATGAGTCAAAACCAGCTTGACAACGCTCATCACCAACTGCAACAGTAATTCAGTCATTGTCATTGTCATTGTAACGAACTGAGTCAGTCAGAGGTTCTATTGTGTTTGTTTTTAACATTCTCTTCAAAGTCTTGAGGTCACAGGAAGTAGAAACAGTGATTTCAATTTCAGTGGATATATGTAAATATGTATATATATCTTTGTGTGTTGGAGATTCATGAAAAAGGGTCCGTATGAAAGACGTTCGATCATCATGTGAACCTGGGACTGCGTGGTCAGGGAGGGGGCGTGTAGGGTTGGGAGCACCACTGGAAGTGCACCTGTACTGAAACACACGCCAGAAAACCACCAGACAGATCAGCCCACCTCTAGTTGTCACTGAATTGGATATAAAGAGTTTATTAACAGTAGCCGAGCTTTTCCTGACGTCTGATTTCAGGTTACCTAGATAGTGTTTTGTAGGCACTCCCTGTTGAACCTGTTGGATCGTCCTGGTCCCGAAGTTGTAAACTATGTGTTGTGATTCTTACAGCAAATGAAGGTCCTCAGTCCCCGTTCCATCACATCCTGCCCAAGTGCAAGCTGGCCAGGGACCTCAAAGAGGCCTATGACAGGTGAGACAGGTAGCCATGCCTCGGGTTTCCACCTCAACAGGTCTCCGAGGCCCCTGGGAGGTCCGTGCAGAGATGTCATGTGGGCAGCTCAGCCACCCTGCTAAATGTCAGCACGTTTGTTTGGTGGTGAGTGCTGGGCTGGGCTGGACATGTCCAGCTCCACCTGCACTGAGGTTGAGGATCTGAAAGTGACCCTTACCATGTATGACACAGAAACAAGTCCTGGGCCCGGCTCCTTGTGTGGATTTGGGCATGGGGAGCACTTGGGGTGTTGAGTGTTTCCCCGTGTCCGTCAGTGGAGTTCGGAGTGGGGAGCACTTGGGGTGTTGAGTGTTTCCCCGTGTCCGTCGGTGGAGTTCGGAGTGGGGAGCACTTGGGGTGTTGAGTCTTTCCCCGTGTCGGTCGGTGGAGTTCGGAGTGGGGAGCACTTGGGGTGTTGAGTCTTTCCCCTTGTCGGTCGGTGGAGTTTGGAGTGGGGAGCAGTTGGGGTGTTGAGTGTCTTCTTGTATTGGTGAGTGGGGTTGGGAGTGGGGAGCAGTTGGGGGGTTGAGTGTCTTCTTGTATTGGTGAGTGGGGTTGGGAGTGGGGAGAAGTTGGGGGGTTGAGTGTCTTCTTGTGTTGGTGAGTGGGGTTGGGAGTGGGGAGAAGTTGGAGTTGGGATGTTGAGTCTCTGAGGTCAGCAAGTGTTGGAAGAAGACAGCATGGGCACCTCACAGGATTTGGGGTATAAGGGTTGGCTCTGCACCAGCTCTGTTAGGTGTGAGATGTGTTTGTGGTGCTTTCTGGAGTCACCCACTGGGTCCCTGCCTCTACTTACTGTCAGGATGTGTAGGTGCCTTCATGGGGACACTTGTCTTTTGTGATATAAGTTGCAAGTAGTGTTTAATCCGTCTTTCGCCTCTTGCTGTAGGTTTCCCCCGTCGCTACCATGCTATTTGAAACAGGGCTTGTTGGGGGGCTGCTGTGATTTCTGGTCCCTTCAGCTGCAGACAGCTAGAAGGACGCCTGTAGGGTCCTGTGTTCCAGCCTTGTCTTTCTCTTTTCTTTGTGACAAGATCATATCAACATTTTCTTTGTGACAAGATCATTACTGCCTCCTATCTTGAGTTGCTTGTTTCAGGAATTCCTTACTTTGAAAATGTGACCTTACTCTCAGGGAGGGATCTGCGTGCCTCAACTAGAATTAAACTCCAGGTTAACCTGGAATTAAAAAAGAAAAACAAACCATTGACTTCCTGTTTGTAAAGGACAACCAGATTGTGACTTTATTTTGTCTGAATTTCATTGGAAGCCTAGAGGCTAGGCTAGATCAGGACACCAGCTTGGTTCAGACTGTGGTCATCGCCACCTGGAGGCTGCTCTAGATCAGGACACCAGCTTGGTCTAGACTTCTGTCCTTGGCACCTAGAGACATGGCTCCAGGACCTTCATTTTCACTTTCACCGAGTCTGCTGCTGGCCCTTCACTCTAAGGGGAACTTTGTGAATGCCCCAATGGCTTCAGAGCCTGTCTAGCAGCTGTTTTGTGGTTAGAACCTACCAGAAGCTGAGGCTCCTGAGTTGTAGATGGTGATGGTGGAGCTGGGACTCTGAATACCTATGGCTACCATGACAGAAGGTGTCATGGGGTCATGTGGTGACTTGTTACACAGTCCTCTGGGTTAATGGCCTGTGGAGACCGGAAGGACTCAGACTGGGGAGCCCTGCCCAGGGTCAGGATGGCACCCTGGTCTGGTGGCATCTGCTGATGGCCTCAGGTGGTGCAAGGTGGCCCTGCAGATATGCTGAGAGCCATGGGCCCTGAACTCGTGAAAAGACACCTGTCTGCAACATTCTGTTTGAAGTGTCCATGGTGATGGTCCAGGACTCCAGGGAAGCAGTGTGGGCTCCTCCCAGCTGCTGCTGCCGCACTGTACCCAAGAAGGCCATGCTCTGCCCTGTATCCTGCTGCAGGCTGGGGTCTCTCTCACGGGTCACAGTGTAACCCTGCGTCTCATCAACAACCTCACAAAGAGCTGTCAAGTGTCATAGAAGCCCTTTTAGGGTCAGACTCTACCCTATTCAGGGCCTCGTCTTAAAACTATAGACTTCACAGTACAGACAGATCTTCCCTCCCTCCCTGCGCAGACTTCCTGGGATATTCCTGGCTTTGTGGGAACCAGTGGTGATGGGCAGGGGGCGCATTCCAAAGTCCAGGGAAGGCCATGTCTGTCCTAACCTCTCCGGGGACTCCTGGGGGCTCTGCTGACACCTCACCACCTGGGGAAATGGAGTGAGGTCTTCAGGGAAGTTGGCCTCAGCTGTTCTGTGTCCCCTCATATGCCCCAGGCAGCCCTGCCCACTTGGTGCTTCATCCAGGCCCCTGGGTCTCTCTGCAGACATCAGCTGCCCTGGCCCTTTGTGGTCATCTTAACAAGACCATGGCGTAGGGCAGAGTGACCCTTCATTCTCCTTAGGCTTGGGCCCACGTACAGCTGGGTCTTGGGAGAGGCGTGCATGCTCCTGGTGTCCCCAGTGTCAGGGGCTCTGTGTGCAGTGATGGTCACACTGTGCTCTGTCCTTCCCTGTGGACCATCCCCGACTGGAGAGACTGGCAGCTGTTGCTACTGCTAAGAAGTGGCCCCCTGGACAGGCCGCACTCACCAGCCCTACCCTCAATGTGTGTGGTCCAGAGAGATGCCCAGGCCCTTAGTTGCCTTCCAACGGGGCTGGCACTGACTGGACGTGGGCATCTAGGAATAGCAGCGTGGGATGGACTCTCCTGAGGCTGATGGGAAAAGGGCAGGGGGCAGCGAACAGAGGAAATGGAGTGATGGGTGGGCGGGAAGAGTGGCCTTTCCCAGGAGCTGTGTGAGTGGGCAGAGGTTCTCAGAGTCGGCTCCTACATCCGCTGAGTCAGAGGGGCCTCCTGGGCAGAGAGCACTCAGACCGTCCATGGAGCAGGGATCAGACCCTTGGCTAACATTCCCTGTCCTCTCACTGGGTGGCTTGTGCCCCCTGCTAGCCCTGACCCCAGACCCTGCCCACAGGTACAGACCATCCTCTCTGAAGGCAGAATCGTCTGGGATGGGCTCCTGGGCAGAGCTTCTGGACACACTTCTGCATATGCCTGCATCGTACCAGATACTTGCCCAGGCATGGCTGAGCCTCGAGTAGGCCCCACAGGCTGGTGGGGTGTAGAGCAGAGTGGGGACAGGGCTGAGACGTCGGGCACAAAGGGACAGCAGGCACCTGTGCCATTGGAGAGACCCTCTGGAGGAACTGGTCAGATTGGGCCAATCACGTGGCGCCATGGCAGTTGTGAGCCGAGAGGGCTGGGTGAATAGACAGTTGGGATGGATGGAGGAAGGAATGGACATTGGGACAGATGGTGAGTGGACAGAAGACCGAGCAGATGGAAGGTGGATGGAGGAAGGGCTGGCTGTGGCTGGGTGGACGGAGTTGCATGATAGTTGCAGTTGGGCCTCCAGGACCAGGTGGTGCTCAGGGTTCTGGCTGTGCCCTGCAGGTAGAGCAGACAGAGTTGGTGATGGTTCCGGCTGGGATGTGGACCAGTCACAGTTTGGGGCCTTCAAGATGGGTTATGTGGGAACTGTGAGGGTTGCGCTGGTTTGGAGGGGTTGCTAACAGTGAGTGTTGGGGGGCCACCAACATTGGAGAACTCTGCCGCCCCGCTCTTCACCTGGAGATAGCGCCTCACACTGGCTGCACCTGTGACAGGTCCTGTGTGAGGGGGTGGAGGGGTAGACAAGGGACATTGGGGCGATCATGCAGGGCTTTTAGCCCCAGGACAGTCAGGTGGTGCTCCTCTGGACTAGAGATTCCCAGGCTGCCAGGCATAGTTGGATCCTGTTACTAGCGTGGGCCTGAGTGTGTGAGGGGTCCTTGTCTCTTGCAGTCTCTGCTCCTCGGGCGTGGTACAACTCCACATAAACAACTGGCTGGAGGTGAGCTTCTGTTTGCCCCACAAGATCCACTATGTGGCTGCCAGCCTTATCCCACCCGAGGCTATCGAGCGGAGCCTCAAGGCCATCCGGTGAGTGTCCCTCGTGTCCCTTCGCTCATCCCTAAGGACTCTTGTCACCAATGGCCCCTGGGTTCACTGGTACACTCTTCTCTGCCCGCAGCCCCTACCACGCCCTGCTGTTGCTCAGTGATGAAAAGGCCCTGCTGGCTGAGTTGCCCGTGGACTGCTCCCCGGCCCTGGTGCGTGTGATCAAGACCAGCACAGCCGTGAAGAACCTACAGCAGCTGGCTCAGGATGCCGACCTGGCACTGTTGCAGGTATCGCCCAGGGCCTGGATCTGAGTTAGACCAGGGTAACCCCACCTTTCACTGGTGGATCAGCCTGGAAGCTCAGACCACTGCACTGTCTGGCCAGCAGAGCCCTGCCCATGGTATGGTTGGGGTGTCTGGGCATGAGAATTCAGAAGCTGCTGGGGGACAGCCTTGAGCGCCATCCGCTGACCTTGCTGGTCACTCAGGAGTACTCAGGCCCACCCAGGGCAGTGGCACTGGTGACTGGGTAGACAGATGGATGAAGGACACAGGAGTGGAGGGTGGCACCAGGGGCAGCAGAGGCCCATCTCTTCGTTCTCTGCCAATGTGGCGGCCAGAGCAGCAGGCTGGGGAAGGACTGCTGTGGGAAGGCTTCCTGGGGACGGCTGCCCCTCTGGCGCCGTTGGCTGTTGTTCAGAAAGCCAGAATCCCAAGCATGTTGCTTTCTTCACATTTGGGAAGGCCACAAGGCCCCCAGTACACTGCATTTTCCAAACAAGTCTTTCATGGGTCTCGAGTTCGTAATAAAGAAAGCCTGGTGGCACAAGGATTAAGCACCGGGATGCTAACCACAATGTGTAGCCCACCAGCTGCGTCACTGGAGGACGATGTGGCAGCCTGCTTCTGTAAAGATGACAGCCTCGGAGACCGAACGGAGCAGTTCTGCTCTGTCCGTGAACTGGAATCAATTTGAAGGCAGTTCCCCTCCTCTGACCCACTGCTTCGTCCACACTTGAGAGAGCTTTTCCCAGACTCCACCTGGCTGTTGCCATATGATCTCCCTAATGGGAGAGCCAGCAAGAACTGCCCAAGTGTGGCGTCTATAGGGTATTGGGCCCTGCACTGCATGGTGGATGGAGCCTCAGGCCTGGTCCCAGAAACTCCTGGGATACATAGCAGGTCATCTTTAAACTGTGAACAGAGCTGGCAGTCAGTCTGGCCCTTGCTGTAGAAGTCTCCATAGATGGAGCTTTGCTGTCCTTTCATGTCCCCCTCACTTCCGAGTGGCCTCCCTGCAGCCCGTTTCCTGTTGGTTGTTGTTTCCATCTGCTGCTGGTGTGGTTGCACAGAGGCCTGGTGAGCCATAAAGGCTGTCCAGCCAAGCTTATGTGTGCCTAGAACAAGAGGGGACACTGGAGGTGGGCATTCATCTCAGAAGCTTTGGTCAGCTGTGGGAGGGCATGGACCGTGAAGACCCATCCCCAGGCTGGAGCCCAGGTGTGGTGAGAGGACGTCAGAGGGGCCTTGTGGGTTTCTCCTCTGTGTCCACAGGTGTTCCAGCTTGCAGCCCACCTAGTATACTGGGGCAAGGCCATCATCGTCTACCCGCTGTGTGAGAGCAACATCTACATGCTGTCACCTGACGCCAGTGTGTGTCTGTGAGTGTTCTGCCCAGTCTCCCTCCAGAAAGCTGGGCTGACTGGGCTTCTGCGCTGAGCCTGCATGCCGTCCACTTCAGGTACTCCCCGCTGGCTGACCAGTTCAGCCGTCAGTTCCCGTCACATGACCTGCCGTCTGTCCTGGCCAAGTTCTCTTTGCCTGTCTCCTTGTCTGAGTTCAGGAGCCCCCTGGCACCCCCAGTACCAGAGGTGAGTCAACAGTGCTTGTCGGGCAAGGGCTTGGGATGGGAGGGTCCGTCGGCACTGCTGCCAGAGGACTCTACTACCCCCAGCACAGATGCAACAATGACTCTGGAGCTGGGGCCTGGTGGGCACACGGTTTGAGGGGACAGCTGGTCTCCAAATTCACTTGACACTGAGAAGGTCTGGGAGGACAGGCCTAGGGGACTGACTGCAAGCCCAGGGGTTCCTCCTGAGAGCCTCAGGCTTTAGGCCTAGCCAGGTTCCCTCCCTGTGCAGTGGGCCCACTGGGGAGAGCTCATGGTAAGTGTCTGTTGGTAACACTGCATCACTGGGTGGGTCCTGACGTGATGGAGCGGTGACGTCGGCGTCTCCCAGTTGCCCTGCCTCAGTATCCTCTGGGTCTATTGAAGACTCGTCAAGCCTCTTAATTTAGTGTGGTATTTTAGCCCTTTCACATCTTGTCTGGTTTTGACCATGGTTCCTCCTGGGGGTTAGCCTAGCCTTTCTAAGGACATTCTGAACGTGCTGCCAGCAGGATCCAAACTGCCCGATTCCTTCCAATCTGGAAATGCTTTCCTGTTGGGGACAGTTGGTAGCTTTCTGCTCTCAGGTCCAGTCCCTGTGGCTGGGGGTATGAGGACAGGAGACAGAAGCCAACTGAGGGGTATGAGATGCTGGGCCACCCAGGAGCAGAGTGGGCCAGCCGTGTGATCTGACTAGAAATAGATCTGGCCAGCGGCTGTTCCAAGGTGAGGGGCCTGCCTGCCCAGGGACAGAGCCCAGCTGACTGCTTTGTCCAGGCCGCCTCCTGAGGTGACTTATGGGTCAGTTTGGGGAAAGGTACAGGATGGGAAAGCCTTTCCCCAAGCAGACCTCCCTCTGACTGCAGACGCAGCTCATCCAGATGGTGGTGTGGCTGCTGCAGCACCGGCTACTCGTCCAGCTGCACACCTACGTTTGCCTGATGGCCGCGCCCCGTGAGGAGGAGGCCCAGACCCGTGAGGATGACCTGCCCCTGCCCGCCCGTGTCGGTGGCCGCAGCCTCAGCACGCCCAATGCCCTCAGCTTTGGATCCCCAAGTAAGAGGACCCGGGTGGGAGGGGGGTACCAGGAACACATGGGCAATGCTGTGGGTGCCTGCAAACGTGTACATTCACACCAGTGTACAACCAGGTACACACACACACACACACACACACACACACACACCTCCCCACATGCACACACTCTCGTGTACACACACACACACACACACATGCACTTGCCCACACACATGTCCACACACATGCATACAACTCAGGCTCACACTCGTGTGCCCACACAGTGCTCACTCATACATTCATGCACGCGCATGCATATCTCCACGCACATGCTCGTAACACATGTGCATACATGCATTCACACCCAGATTTGCTCATGGCCATATATGTTTATGCATGTGCACGCATGCCTCCACATGTGCCCACACACTCACATGTGTACCACATACATCCATGCACATACTCACATGCACATCACACATCAGCATGCTCAGACTCATATACATGCATGTACACGCATGCACATCCCACATGCTCACTCATACACCTCTACATACACCTTCACACACTCACATATTTATCACACAATGGCTCACACATGTATGGTGGTGGTGGTGGTGTGTCATGGAGTTAATTCCAACTTCTAACAACCCTGTGTGAGGTTTCCAATAGGGTTTTCCAGGCTGTAAGTCTGTATGGGAGCAGAAAGCCTCATCTTCCTCTCTCAGAACTACTGACTGTGAAGTTAGCCGTCTGACTCATAGCCACTCTGCTTACACACACGTACACCTCCACATGCATGCTCATATCCTCATATGTACACCCACATGCCCACACGTATATACATGTACATACATGCGCACACCCAGTTTGTGTAATCACATTCACGTACACACATGCACATATATGCATGCATACCCACATGCTCATATGCATATACACACATGTACACACCCCTGTGCACATGCATATACTCACACACACGAACATACACACACCTCCACATGTACATACACAAACACACCCAGTCTTATGTTCATGTATGCACCACACATGTACAGTGCATACCTGCACACTCATATACATGCATGTGCACACATGCACACCCACAAGTGTGCCCATGCTGCTCCCAGAGGGAGCGGCGGTGTCACACCTTAGGAATGTGCTGGTCACGATCCAGGCACTGAAGGGGCTTCGAGGGGGCCGCAGCAGTTTCAAACCAGGGTCCTTGAAACTCTGACTGACATTCCCCACAGCCAGCAGCGATGACATGACCCTCACCAGCCCCAGCATGGACAACTCCAGTGCCGAGCTCCTCCCAGGTGGGGACTCGCCACTCAACAAGAGAATGACAGAGAACCTGCTGGCCAGTCTGTCGGAGCACGAGCGTGAGGCCATCCTCAGCGTGCCCGCCGCCCAGAACCCGGAGGACCTGCGTATGTTTGCCAGGTAGGGCTCAATGCTGTGAGCCCCGGGGTGAGCACAGGGTGGGAGGATGTGGCCCCGGGCAGGGGGTGAGCAGGGCTGAGGCTAGTTTCCTTCAGGCTCCTACACTACTTCCGAGGTCGTCATCACCTGGAGGAGATCATGTACAACGAGAACACGCGGCGCTCCCAGCTGCTCATGCTCTTCGACAAGTTCCGGAGCGTGCTGGTGGTCACCACCCACGAGGACCCGGTCATCGCTGTCTTCCAGGCTTTGCTGCAGTGAGCCTGCTCCACAGCCTGGCACAGCCGCTGCCCCCATGGCACCCTTTGTGGCCCTGCCTGCCCAGCTGAGGGCCTGAGCTATCATCTGTGTGTGTCTCTGCAGGATGGGGTCTCCACAGCAGGGCTGAGGGGTGACCAAGCCAGGCCTGCCCTTCCCTTCCCCATGCGCAGAGCTCCGCCTTTCCTGTCGGTGAGCCGCAGAGCTGGCTGCAAGCAGGGCCCACAGCGCCTCTCTAAAACGAGAGCATTTATTCACTTCCTAAACAATGAAAGACTACTTGGAATGGACCCTTTGCTCAAGCCTGTGTCTGCTCGGCTGTCCTGTCCACCACACTGACAAAGGGGCTGCCCCGAACATAAAAACGCAGAGGCTTGTGGACCCACTGCCCCGCACGGCCAATGCCCACCCGGGCTGCAGCAACCACAGCTGCCTCGGGAGTACCACGCTCCAGCCACAGGGCTCCATCTGTGGCTAGGTCCTGCTGATCAAAGCTCTTGTCGATGGCCAGGGCCTGGCACAGCTTGGAGGGGCCACTGCAGAGCTGGCGGTCTTTGAGGGCTCGGCCTGCAGCGCCCTTCCCGAGGCTGCTTCTGAATTGCCGCATGCTCTCCAGACCCTCCAGGGGCTCCAGCGCTCGCAGCAAAACACATGCCCCGTCACCTGCAGGACAGATGGACAGGCTGGACAGGAAGCCTCCCAGACACCCACCCAGCCACACCTGATGCTGCTGGGGGACACAGCTGACTGCTGGTGGGCAGAGGGATGAGTCCTCATATGACTAGCTCCTTATACCTACACCCACTGGCTGGGTCACCTCTGGCTCCCTGCCAGGCTCCACTGATGCCCTCCCATCTAACATACCTGCTGGATCCATGGGAAGCTGGCCTGAAGTAGCCGCCATCCTGGGACTACAGAGAATAGGAGATCCACGTACCTCCTGGGGTCCCTTTCCCTATCTATCCAAGAATAGGGCCCCGGGAAATATTCCAGATCTCTGCGTGCTCAGGAAGGAGGGGACAGCCAGACCTGTGCTAGTCACCAAGGAACCCTCCTCTGAAACACCTACTCCCACCCACACCAGCCTGGACCCCCTTCCTGCTTCACATTGCCATATGCAGCCTCCAAGTTAGACCTGGACTGAATTTGGACCACTGGCCTTCTGGACCCTTCCTGGAGCCTCTGGGCTCAGTTCTGATGTCACCTGGGAGCCAGCAGCCACTCAGCCTGCAGATAGCAGGTTTGTGACCAGCCATCCCACAAGTGGCTGGTTTTCAAAGAACGTAAGGTCTCAATGTGAGGGTAGTCCCGTGTAACCCCCAGTGCCATCACCGCTGCTGCTAACCCTAACCCAGCCTCATCTGTGATCCCCCATGGGGAGCTCCACAAGTGCATACCCCTCTCATCTTCGTACTTCACAGACAAAACAACAGCTTGACTGCCTTGCCCATCCACATACCCTCCCTGCAGAGCAAATGCAAGTCTCCAGCTTTAATATGACACCAGGTCTCCTTCCTGTGACCAGGCATCCACTTCCTGTGAGCTCACTTGCCCCCCTCCTTCCCCCACCATGGACTCTCCCTTATCCCTCTTCTTCCTAGAATCCAGCCCCTCTACTGTGCCCTGTTGGGGGGACACCTAGACCTCATCCTCACTTCTCTACGACCCTGGGACCACATGTGGTGCCTGTCTCTCCTCCCACCCAACCCTTCACATAGATTCCCTCCGTGCAATGTAGTCACGTGCTCTGGGAGTGATTCACTCCCACTCCCCATTCCCTAGTCTGGAAACCCACCCTCACCTGGGATTCTTACCCCTGCTTGCAACTGGATTTTTTCTTTCCCCAACTCTCCTGGTCCCCCAAGTTCTGTTTGGCCCATAAGTGATGCCACACTCAAGCTTTCCCCATGGAGACTCCACCATCTGACACCCTCTGTAGTCTCGCTGAACAACCGTTCCATCTGACCTTGGGGCCCAATTCTGGCAGGGACAGCTCCCAAGAATGTCACTGCCCTCATCCAGCAAACATGAGACCTTTATGTGTGGGTCCCCCTTTGACAGACTCAGCCCCCAAGGGAAGCACATGGGTCTCCACCTAGCACTGTTGGCGTCTGTCTCTGGACCTGACCTCTGGCCCGCCCCTGCCAGCTCTTGACAACCAAAAACGTTCCCTGTGAGGGGTCTTTCTGTGCCAAGTGTATCCCAACCCTCACCAGAACTAGCCCCTCCCAGCCAACAGTGATGCCAGGAACCTAGGAGCTATCTGCAAACTATGCTCTCCTGGAACCCAGACCGACCCATCCCACCAGGTTTATCCTGCTCACCCTGGCTGGAGACGTTCATGCAGAAGTACATGCCATAGATGATGTACACATACAGGGTGCCTGGTTTCATGAACATGCCACGGTTCCGGGCTGTCTGCCGGCCGCCTCTCGAGTGGGCTGCCTCATCCTCTGGACCCAGGTATGCCTCAGTCTCCACGATGCGACCACGAAGCTCTGTGCAGTCAGCCAGCCGCCGCACTAGGACCTGTAGGCCAGACTCTGCTTGGAGCTAGGAAGAGCCGGGACCCCAACTCCCCTACAACCCTCTGATCTGGAAACCACCCTGTAGCTTGAGCACACAGCGAGGCACCAGGTTCGTCCAGGTGCCCCCTGCCCCTCCCTCCTAGACCAAGGCTCCTGCCCACCAGTTTGCAGCAGTGAGGCGTTGGATCAGCACCGGACTGTTTACCACAAGGTCAGCAGCTCAAACCTACCAGCTGTTCTTTGGAAATCCTATCCAGGGTCGCTGTGAGTTATAACTGACTTGATGACACTTGACAATAACAAAGCAAACTAGGACCTGTTCCCCCTGGCTGCTCCTCCAAATCCCTCTCAAGAGACCCCAGTGTCCAGCACAGGGCCAGGTGAGTGAGTGCGGAAGAGAGAGCCCACAGGGTCTCTGTGCAGTCTTCCTAGAGCCCATGGAGACCCCACCCCACAGGCACTCACAAAAGACCCCCCACATGGCTTCTGCCAACCTGGTTCTGGAAGGTTGCCTGGGTTTCCAAGTCTTTTCAAAGGCTCTTTGGAGTGGGAGAACCCACTGCCCCTAAAGTGCTTCCAGTCAGTGGGTGCAGGGGGATAGGGTAGTCTAGATATAGGCCGCTTGTTCAGACCACACCTGGACCAGGCAGGGACTAGCTGGGGTCATGGAGGCTTGGGAGGTGGGGAGCCAGAGATACCAGAGCATCCCCAGCATCCACCAGGTTCTTAGGTCAGGTCAGCCTGGGCTGCAGTCATTGGACCAGTTGGTGCTCAGTGGGGGAGAAGTCTGGGAGGCCTTTCTGGAGACAGCGGCACACACACCTAGAGAGTGAGTGGGGAGAGGGGAGGGTCCATGTCTCCACTAGAAGTCAGGAATCCTGTGCATCCAAAGTGGGAGCAAATACGCCAGGTCTTTTACAGAATTGGTTTTCTGCAGAAGCCTTAGCATAAGCTTTCTTCACATGGCATCAACCTGGGGTCCATGGGCATGGACAGGCTCCCACCATGAGGCACATTTGAGTTCCTTCCTCCAGGGGGGCTCCCTAGGCCCCATCCTGGCTTTCTGATCTGAGTTTCACCTAGATGGGTTGTCAATAGACAACTCATTCTCTTACGCAAATGATGGTGGGCCCAAGAGGTTCTGGAAAAGGTCCTCCCTGTTTGGAAGGTCCACAGGGTGTAGTACCCTTTCCTGGACATCATGGGGCCACATGAGCAAGACAGGCTCTCTCCATAGGCTGGCTAAGAGTGGTTGCAGAAGCTGTCCTTGACAACTTCCCCCAGTTCCTGGCCAATCCCAGGACTCGTCACCTGCCTTCACCTGCCATATGATTTCAGGAACTTTCAGAAGGCTCTTCTGGTCCTTGGACCCTAAAACTTCCTCATGGGACAGACTGGCTCATTTTCCACTTGGCCAAGTCCACCCTTCAGCACCAGTTTTTCTATTAGTCACAGACGGCAACTCTCAGCTATTTAAGCTAAAAATGTGTCAGGGTGTCCGTAGGAGGAGCAGAGAGCCAGACTTGGGATTCTTGATCAGGAACAACACCCAGCTCAACCGCTGCTGCACTCTGACCCAGAGGAGGGTGCTGCAGCTGGTGTTTGCCATCACGCCACTATACCACAGAGCCACTGGAACACACCCTGGGGGCTGGGCTGGGCTGGGCCCAGGCCCTGGACCAGCCACACTGTCTGAGCAGCAGGGCACCTCCTATGTCCCAAGGCAAATTGGATGCCAGCGGCCCAGTGGCAGCCATGACACAATCCTCACGTGTATAAAAACCAAAACTATTGATGGGGACAAGGTGAACAGAGGTAGCCCCTCTCAGTTCCTGGAGGCCAGTCCTGGCCTAGGTCCTGGTGAGAAACCTCCCCTGAGGAAGACCCAGGTAGGCAGACAATGGATGGAACATCAGTTTACATGACTACCAGCAGGCACAGCTGTGAGCCTGGTCAGGGTTTCCGGCCTCTAGCCTCAAAGAGCCTGCAGGGTGACAATCGCTTCTGCCCGAGAAGCTGTGTGTATATTACCTGTCCCAGCAATGCCCGCGCTAGAGCTACCGCGGGCTGGTCAAAAAACTCAGGCCCCAGCCGGACAGGGTGGTCCTGCGGGCTCAAGAAGTAGATGCTGCGTTGAGGGCTTGGGGTGATAGGTAGCCTTGAGCAGGGTCCCTCACAGGGAGGTGTCCTGGCCTCGTCATGTGGGCTCCGGCTCTTCTCTGCCACTGACAGGCGCTGCCTCTTGTGCCGCACCTTCCTGAAAAGCTGCAGAGGGAAACGGAAGTATGTGGTCTGAATAGGTAAAGACGGGTCAGTGTACAGAGGCTCAGGCGCAGGGTGCAGGTGGCTGGGATTTGATGGCTCTGTCTCAGTTTCCTCATCTGCAAAGTGGGCTGATGACCTCAAAGGACTTAACAGGAGGCACAAATAGAATGTGGTACCTGAGGTGACAGTGATCAGGTGGGCAGGGGCGGTGTGAAGCGTTTCAACTTAGCACTCTGTGGGAAACCCCTAAGATGCTTTCTGAGGGCAGTCACCCTGAACCTCAAGCACCAGGGCTGGTGCCCTCTGCCTTCTACCTTCATGTAGCCAAGGAGCAAACTTCCTGAGCTTGTTTCATGAACCTTGCCCTTGCTCCCTACCCTGACCCAGAACGAACAAATATAGACCAGTGGTCTCCGGTCAAGCACGTAAAAACCTTGCAAATCATCAGCCTTGTGCCCACAGCAAGACAAAATCTGAAAATCATCACGTATTCAGAAAGAGGAAGTCACAGGGTAACCTGTCCCCATAGAACCAGAAACAGTCACCAGGGTGGATGCTACCAGCTCAGGCTCAGCACTGGCCAGGAAGTACTGAGGACTGAGTGTGGGTAAGCAGGACAGGTCAGAATGCCTGGAAACCCAGACTGTGGCCCCATGCTTCTGTGGGAGCCCACAGGGGTGGGTGAAAAGTCACCATTCTCAGTGAATGCTCTCTTAACCAACTGCTCTCATGATAAGCTTCTGAAGACAAACGAACATGGGTTTATTCAGAGCCTAGCGGAAAGGGGAAATCCTGCTGTGTGGCCCTGTGGGATAAAGCACAGAGCCACAAGGCTGGTGGCACTTTAAACTCACCAATGGCTCCTTGGAAACCCTACACAGGCTCACTAGGAGTTGGAACCAACCCAATGGCACTTAACAGCAAATGGACATGGTGTGGTGCTGTACAGTAAGCATGCACTGCTAACTGCAAAGTCAGCAGTTCAAACCCACCAGCTACTTGTAGGAAATGCTACACAGGGTTGCTGAGAATTAGAACCAACTCAACAGCAATATTAATATCAATGGACATGGGGAGTCCTGGTGTGGCTCTGCAGGAGAAGTACTGGACTGACAACAGGTTGGTGGTTCAAACCCACCAGCAGCTCCTTGGAAGCTTATACATGTTGCTGTGAGTTGGAACAATAACAATAGATGGGCATTGTTGTTAGGTGCCATCGAGTCGGTACCGACTCATAGTGACCCTATGCACAACATAACCAAACATTGCCTGGCCCTGGCCAACCTCACAATTGTTGCCATGCTTGAGCTCATTGATGCTGCCACTTGGCCAATCCATCTCGCTGCAGGTCTTTCTCTTTTTCACTGATCCTCCACTTTACCAAACATGATGTCCTTCTCCAGCCACTGGTCTCTCTTGACAACATGTCCAAAGTATGAGAGATGAAGTTTGGCCATCCAAGGAGCACTCTGGCAGCACTTCTTTCAACACAGATCTATTGGTTCTTTTGGCAGCCCATGGCACTTTCAATATTCTCCAACACCAGAACTCAAAAGCATCAATTCTTCTACGATCTTCCTTATCCACTGTCCAGCTTTTGCTTGCATATGAGGTTATAGAAAATACCATGGCTTGAGTCAGGCGCTATACCAGTCCATTTCAGCTCACTAATACCTAAGATATCGATGTTTATGCGTTCCATTTCGCTTTTGACCATTTCCAATTTCCCTAGATTCATACTTCGTACATTCCATGTTACAATTATTAATGGATGTTTACAGCTGTTTCTCTGCATTTTGAGTTGTGCCCCATCAGCAAATGAAGGTCCCACGGGCTTTACTCCATTCGCATTTTCACAGGCAACTCTCCTTTGAGGAGGCAGCTCTTCCCCAGTGGCATTTTGAGTGCCTTCCAGCCTGAGGGGCTCATTTTCCAGCACTATAGCTGACAGTGTTTCTCTGCTGTTATAAGGTTTTCAGTGATGAAATATTCAGAAGTGGTTCGTCACTCCTTCATCCTAGTCTGTCTTTGTCTGGAAGCCCATCTGAAACCTGTCCACCATGAGTGACCCTGCTGGTATTTAAAACATAGGTGGCATAGCTGCTGGAATCACAGCAACTCACAAGCCACCACAGTATGACAAACTGACAAATGGGCATGGAGGGAGGGAATACCCCAGTTTGTGGTTGTGGTTGTTGAGAGCCATTGGGTCAGTTCTGACTCATAGCAACCCTGTATGGGGTTTCCAAGGAGCAGCTGGTGAGCTTGAACCACCACAACCTTGGGGTTCAAATCGACCCTGCAGTCCACAGCCTATTTCACCTAAGAGATGAAAACAAATAGAAAAGTTGAAAGGTATTTGTGGAGGACACAAACCAAGGGTAAGCGCTTCCTAAGAGACTAAGACCTAATCTGATGACTTTAGTCAGTGCAAACGTACAGCAACCCGATGCACAAGAGACGGAAACTCTGTGTGGGGCTGTGCCATCCTCACAATTGTGGAGTCCACTGTTGCTGCCGCTCGGTCTATCTATCTTGTTGGGTGGGTCTTCCTCTTCTCGATGACCCTCCACTTTACCAAGCATGATGTCCTCTTAACAATATGTTCAAAGTAGGAGAGACAAAGTTTTGCCATCCTGGCTTCTACAGAGCATCCTGCCTGTACTTCTTCCAACACAGATTTGTTTGTTCTCTGGCAGTCCATGATATTTTCAATATTCTTCACCAAGACCATAATTCAATTGCATCAATTCTTCCAGGGTCTTCCTTATGGCCCTTCAAGTCTGGAACCAAACTTACTCCTGCTTAAACTCGTCAACTTTTAGTCAAACCTATAAGAGAAACGACACCAGGAAGGTATGTGCTCCCTAGACCAACCAACCATTCAGAAAGATCAAAGGGCAGCAGTTGTCCAGATGGCAAGAAGGGCTAGGGAAGGGTGAATGGAGATGGTGAACACAGGAAGGAAACAGGGAAAGTGCTGTTAACATCTGTTACACGTGGGGCTGCAATCAAGGTCAGGAATCAAAATGTGTATAAATTGTTGAGTAGAAAACCAATTTGCTCTGTAAATTTTCAACCAAATGACAATAAAAAGTAAAGAAAAAACAAAAGTCTCCCTCCTAAAAGGTCAAAATTCTCACGTTGCCTCTGTGTGCATTGATAAGGAGAGATTAAGATGTCGATTAGTTCTCCAATAACTTTTATCATATCCCAACCAAAATTCCTGCAAGTTAGAAAAATGGGTGCTAACATTTATATGAAAAGGCCAAACACTCAGGACAGCCACCACGGCACTGACGGGCCGAGAGTGAGCTGCCATGATGGTGACACGGAACGTGAGGGATCAGGGAAGGAACAGACAACTAGATTGGAAGAGTAGAGAGCCCAGAAATAGACCAATACAATAGCTTGTCAACTCAACGGAGAAAGGAGTCTTTTCAACAAATGGTGTTGGAACAACTAAGCAGCCTCAAGCAAAAAATGAATCTAGACACCAAAAATAACTCAAAATGGATCATAATCCAAATGATCTGCCACTAGAATACAGATATGCCAATGGAAAAAAGTTGAGAATCCAGAAATAAACCCATACATCTTTGTTCCACTGATTCCCGACAAGGGTGCCAAATCCATTCAATGGGAAAAGAATAATCTCTTCAATAAAGAGTGCTGTCACATGACCCCCACATGAAAAAGAATGAAGTTGGAGACATATTTAACAAAATTAACTGAAAACAAACCCACTGCTGGGTTTCCAACTCACAGTGACCATCTGGGGCATAGTAGGACTGCCCCATAGTGTTTCCAAGGCTGTCGTCCTTGTTCCTCTGATTGGCTAGAGTGTTGAAATCTCCACCCTTTCAGTGTGGTGAGACCTGGGGACACTTGAGCCATGGACAAGGACATAGCCACAGAGGGCTAGAGCTGAGAGTGAAGCATCCAGCTGATATGAAGTGAGGGGCGATGCACAAGAACACCCAAACTTGCAGATAGTACCCATTTGACCTAGTCTTAATAGCTTGATAATCAGAACTCGACTAGAGGAAGAAAAAAAAGAAAACAATTTTTTATAAACAAGTGTAAATTGCTACAATTTGATGAACTTGACCTATATTCAAGGAGATAGGAGCTCAAAATAGCAACAGAGATGGAAGGAATTTTCATATCAAGTATCAATGCTATCCCCTCTGTATACAGGGTAGATAGGGATGGGCAACTTAGACATTGGCTACCTAAAATGAGGGGGTGATAAAGGCTTACATGATTTTAAGAAGGAGCTTAGTTTAAGAGTGTGGGGGGGAAGATAAGAGTCCCCACTGAAGAGTTTTCATCTTGTCGTAACGGGTCTGGTAAAAAGAGATGGGGATAAGATTCTTATGATTCAATGCAGAGTAATTGCTATCATTACTAATTGCGACTGTCATGATAGTAAAGCTAGAAGTTTTGTAACAAAAACTGGGGAGCAGTTAATCTTACAGTCCAGACACAGAGGACCTTAGGACCATCAAGAGCGAAGAGGATGAGCAGAATGTGGGATACTATCCAGAGAAGCAGCGACACTAGAGATGGAGGCAGAGATGGGGACATGGAGAGAAGGAGCAGCTGAGGACTCTAGATTCATGGAGAGAGAGGGACTGAGTGCTGGCAGCCAGGAGACAGGCTTGCAGAATGTGCCCTTTGATGGTTTACATGACTATATATGACTGAGTGTTAAAAAAAAAACTAAAATGAATAGAGAGAACCACTGTTAACTGATGGTATATGGAGGGGATTATAATCATTGTAATGAAACAAAGTATATGATTTGTTGAACGTAAAACTGATGACCTGCCCTGTAAACTTTCACTCAATTCACAATAAAAACTTTTTAAAAAGTTCAATGACTTAAGTATAAAAACTGTTGCTATGTGCTGTTGAGGCTTTCGGAGGAGGAGTAGCTGGTGGGTCCAACTGCCAATCTTGTGGTTCATAGTCCCGATGTAAGAACTAGGACCAAAAATATAAATCTAGAATTAAAGGCTGCGTCTCCCCTTGCACATTCCAGACCTGAGGTACCAAGCTGAACAGAGACAGGGTGTCTGGAATGGATGCCTAGGCCTGGCCCTGGGGATCATGCAGGCTCAGGGGAGAGATGCCCCGGGGAAAAGTCACCAGGTGCTCGTGCCTGTGTCCTGTCTGCAAAAACTGAAGAACCGCGTCCACCGCACGACATGGTTCTGGAGATAAACTGAGGTTCAGGTACCGCCCTGGCTGGACGTTAGTTAGAAACAACCAACGTGAGCCCCTCTTCGGGGATGCTGAGAGTGAATCAACACAGGGACACAGTGGTCCGGACTGCAAAAAACGGTTGCATGACGTTCATTCCGGCAGCCTGGACGCTCTGGATGCCCCCCAGGGGACGTCTGGTCCTACCCAGAACGGCCAAGGAGGGCAGCAGAACCCCCTGGGGCCAAACCCTACCGGTTCACCTGGGCTCGCACTCACCTGGGCCCCACTGCGCGTAGACATCAGGCGGCTCGGGCAGGCGGGGACCCACCCCGTGCAGAGGCCACCCCTGAATCGACCCCAGAACACAACCCGACTGGACACCACCAACTACCGCAAACCGGGAAGCGCCGCAGAGACTCGGAGTTGATCCCGCGCCTGCGCGATTGGGACGCAAATAGGGTGGGAAGGCGTGTGCAGAGCGTGGACCCCGCCTCGGGGCGGGGCGGGGTTGGTGGGCACGGCCTTGCGTTGGCCTGTGGGCGGGGCTTAGCTCCAGGCCCAGACCCGCCCCCCCCGCCCCCCGCCCCCGAACTGCTCTGTGGAAAGGAAGGAGGAGCGAGGGCGAGGCGAGACATTGCCTTTGCGGCCCAGTGACCCGCCTCCACCTGTGCCCAAGTGTCCCCTCAGCTGTACAGCCTACGAAAAGGACTGGTTCAATTTGAATTATGTCCCGGTCTTCGAGGGCCCCTGGTTTGCAGAGAGTTCCGTAGGGTCTGTGAGGGTTAGACTGCGTGTGGGCGTTGGGCACAGAGGGTTTCACTAGTTGAGGGGCGGAAAGAGCCTGAGCAGGGGCGGGGGTTGGGGGGTCTGGTGTACCCTGCCCAGGAAGTGGACTCGAAGTTTACCCAGAAGCCTCCACGCGGCCCAGTAGTCCCAGGCCAGTCTGAAGACAGTAGGCTTCTGTTCCCCAGTGAATCCCCCATGTCTCCTGCAGCTTCTGGGGATGACCCGTGGGACCCCCACCACCCCGTTCATCTGGTTGCCTGTACTGACCTCAAGTCTGAGGAAGTCTGGGGAGTGCATCACCCCCCACCTGTAACACTCCCCCACCCCCAAGGACCTCCCCCATTGCTCCCTGGCCCTCCCAAGTCAAGTTACCCCCCCATCTCCCCACCCCCACATGGAAGAGAGGCTGGGAAAGGTTGGGGTCCAGGTAAAGGAAAGCACCCTGGTGGAGTTTCAGGCACAGGCTTGTGGAGAAACCCCAGCGTTTGTGTTGGTGTGTGGGGGGTGGTGTTGGTGGTAGGGCTGCACATTGAGCATCTGTGACTCAGTGCATACCCACAGAATCATCCCACACCCCCACCTCTCTGGGTCCCCACTTCGCAGTTCTCCTAGGGGCTTGTCCTCAGCTGTCTTGGATATCTGTGACCATGAGCAGGGCTGCTGAGAGGTCCGGGAGAGCATCAGCTACTGGACAGAAGGACATTCCCGTGTCAGATGGGCCTGGCCCTGGTCCCATGTCACGGCCAGTGGGGCAGGACCCTGGTCTCCAACGGCTCCAGCCTAACCTAACCCAGCCCAGCCCAGCCCAGCCCAGCCCACACCAGCCGTCCCATTCCAGAGGCCCTAGCCAGGACTTCCTGGGGAGGGAGGGGCACCACCAGACTGGAATTCACCCGGCTGTTGGTGGCACTGTGTGTGACTTCCAATGTATGTGTGTGGGAGCTTGACATAAACCCATGGCTTCTGAGGCAGGCTAATTGATGTAACCCTTCCCCACCTTCTTCCTCCTCCCCCTGACAGTCATTCCACCCCACTTCTTGTTGGCCCAGCCCCCACTGTCCACAGAAGGTAAACTGAGGCCAAGTGTTGAGCAGGTCAGGCAGCAGGAGGGAGAATGTGTTTTTGTGCTAATTTTTTTTTATTTCACAAGTGGTGCACGTGCCTTTTAGAGATCCAGACTCTCTTCCTGGAAGACCTGGATGCAGCCGGGAGGCTCAAGGAGAGGCCAGCCCTAGGCAAGGGCAGCCAGCCAAGGGGGAGGCACTTCCAGATGTTCCAGGTCCTGAGCTTTGGAGACTTTTGCAACATCTGGCCCACCCCCACTTCCTGGTTGCGGCCTGGGCCCCCTGCCACAGAGTGGAAGTGGTGGACTGAGAGTTCTCTCAAGGGCCTGGTGGGCGGGCCATCTCCTCTGTCCCCTGGGTCGTAGCAGGGAGAGACTTGGAGGAGGAGGCTTTGAGATTCTAGATGTGATCATCTCTGGAGTCAAGTTGAGGTGCTCATCAGAGTGGCACTGTGTCTGATGGGCGCCAGGGGGCCAGGAACGCCTTGTCCTCCCTCCCGGGGTTGTGGCTGCCTAGCCCAAGCCCAGGTACTTCTGTTCCCACCCCTCACCCCTGCAAGGCCCTGAGCCAACCTCAGAAATAGCCAGTGACTCCAGGCCTTAGGCTGGTCTGGCCCACCTCGGTCTCCTCCCCAAATAGCCAGGGCTGGACCTGGTAGACCCTGTAGCTCTGGCCCCTGGCAGAGGCGGCTGTCTGGGGTGATGAGCCTAGGATTCCAGGAGGGCCTGAGCGAATGGCTGAGAGCTCAGGGGTTGTCCCGACCTTGTCCTGCAGTGCTGTTTCTGCATGGTCTCATGACAGGAGCATTGGGGGGGTGGGCTCTTCCATCTGGGCATGGGTGCCGGTAGGGACTCATACTGTCCTGCTCTTCCGTTCCGGCTCTTCCCGGGGTGGGGGTGGAGGTGGAGGACAAGGTCAGGTAAGGCAACCCTCCTCCTCTGAAGGCAGTTCCTGGGAAGGTGCAACTGAGCTCCAGCTGACGAGGGACACCCCTACAGGAGAGAATGTGCCACCACAGACCCATTGACCTGGACGTACCCACCTGCCCACCCTGATACTTGCTGTCTGTCTGAGCATCCAGGCCACTCAGGAGACTGTCCTGCCTCTGGCCCAGAGCTTGGCAGGAGGAGAGGGAGGAATGTGCCTGAGGCCACAGGAGCAGCTGGGCCTGTCTGTAGTCACCGTCCTACTCCAAAACTTCTTAGTCTCATTCTAAGTCGGAATTGAGTGGACAGCACCCAAGATCACGGGGCCATGCAGG